CTACTATATATATATATATATATATATATATATATATATATGAGTGTAATTTCCATAAGGTTGCAACCTTAAACAATCCAAGTAAGGCGCACCTCCAAATTTTATCATAACATATAATTTTGATGTAAAATATTCTTTGGATTATCTCAAAATCTATTTTCATACCTAATTATAAAATTTTAAACTCCAAAAATAGTTAAAATCAAGTAGATCTATAAACATATGAAAAACTTGAAAATGGACGGTCTAGATAATATGTTGTAAGATGTACTATTTATGGAACTCAAAATCCATTTTTTCTTCATAGTCATAGATCTCGACGTCGAGATGATCAATTAGAGGGTTTTTCAACATTAAAATAGCATTTTTCAATAGATTTTTGAGGTGCATCCATAGTTCTACATTTTAAGGTTGCAACCTTATATAAACTTTTTCATATATATATATATATAGGGAAAGGCTGGCGTAAGCCCACTAGTTGATGGAACAAGGTCAGCCCAATGGCTCAGATTTAATATGGATTGATCCAATGATCACACCTGCATTTTATATTCAAATTTTACTTTTTTTTCTACAAATCTAAATCACTTGAAATTTAGAGTGTCTATTATTAAAAACTAAGTAAATCTAACAAAAAGATTTAAAAAATTATTTGTAAAATTTAAATAGACTAAAATACCTTTAAAATTTTTAGGTTTGTTTTGATCAATTTAAATTTTACGAATAATTTTTAAAATATTTTTATTAGGTGTATATTGATGAGAAGAATGAAGACTGCAAATTTCATGTAATTTGGATTTAAGGGACAAGAATGATTGTGACTTTTATGTATAAAAGATAAATGATCTCTTTGTAGAGAATCTCTTTTGAAAAAAAATAATATACGGATATATATTGGATTCTATTTAAAAAAATGTGCTCTTTTAAAAATCTTTTAAAAACACAATTTTTTTTAAAGGATTTCAGGAAAAATAGATACGTTTTGAAAAAATCGTATTTTTATGAGACTCGTTGATTATTATGCATAGAGTAGATATAATTTGTCCTTGTCAGCCTTTGTAGTTCACTAGGAAATAATCCGGTCATATTTTTATCAGACTCGTTGATTATTATGCATAGAATAGGAATAATTTGTCCTTGTCAGCCTTTGTAGTTCACTAGGAAAGGATCCGGTCATGTATGGTGCCTCAAACCACGTTTTGATGCTGTTGGGGTAGCATTAGGTGCCAGCCACTTCATACGTTGGTAAGGTGCACCTTCAAATTTTATCTTGGTATATAATTTTGATTTTATCTTGGTATATAATTTTGATGTAAAATGTTCTTAGGATTACCTCAAAATCTATTTTTATATCTAATTATAAAATTTTAAATTTAAAAAATGGTTAAAATCAAATAGATCTATAAACATATGAAAATCTTGAAAATAGATGGCATAGATAATATGTTGTAAAATGCATTATTTCTGAGACTTAAAATCTTTTTACTTTTCATGATCATACATCTCAATCTCGAGATGATCAATCAAAAGGGTTTTTCAACATTAAAACTGCCTTTTCCAATGAATTTTTGAAGTGCATCCGTAGTTCTGGTTGCAACTTTATATAAACTTGTTCCTTTTAGAAATACCATGCTATTTTTTAACTCTCTTTATGTACACTTTGGAATTACCATACGTGAGATAAAAAGAGAAAGGGATAGTATACTAAAACATTTATCTTTCTTACAAAGACATCACAAGTACTCCTAACTATTAGATCTCAAATTGGATGGCATATGAAATATAACACGTGGTTTGAGAGTTTTTTTTTTTTTTTTTTAAACTATGCATCTAATCAATGATAATGCTCACAACTAATTGCTTTAAAATCTGAAGGACAAAAGTGATGTAACCCTTTTGTATTCAAAGTAAATAGTCTCTTTTGAATACTTTTCTAAAAAGACCTGGTTTCTATACGGCCAAGCCACATATGTAGAAGCACGGGCCTCAATATAAATATATTTTTGAGATGGGGTTTAAGACTTAATTTTTAAAGACATGTAATCTCTAACATGGAGATAATGAATATGAAAAAATAAATATGTTTTAAAAACTAGAAATAATAATTCTAATAAGAAAACATTTACACCGTCAGTTTCCATTGTTTTTATTGCACCCATCTATTTTTATTGCACCCATCTTTAAGACCGCATAGGTAGAAATACGGTTCATTTTCCTTTCTAAGAAGAAAAAATACGTGTTTGATCCCAAAAGCAAAAATGCCGCCTTTAGAAAAAATTCAAACCATACATTTTCGATACGCGTGTTGCAGGCACTCAGGGTTAGCAATAATGATACAACTTCCTTGGCACATTTCTCATTTGAAAATTTTCAAACTTAAAAAGGGGTACCATTTTCTTAAGGAATTTTTTATTAAAAAAAAAGCCCAAATAAATATTCTATATAATAGAGTAACCATCAGGAAGCTACTGAGTAAATGTATCCTCAAATAAAACTTTGGCAAACGTTTAAATAAAGTTGCAACCTTAAAATGTAGAAGTACATATGCACCTCAAAAATCCATCATAATCCATCACCATAGGCTGTTTGGATGTTGGAAATCCGTTTAATTGATCATCTCAGCATAGAGATGTATGAATATGAAAAGAAAAAAAGATTTCGAATCCAAAAAACTAGTGTATCTTACAACACATTATCTAGACCATCCATTTTCAAGATTTTCATGTGTTTATACATTTACTTGAATTGAATCATTTTTAGAATTTAAAATTTTATAATTACAAGCCATCCTAAGAATTTTTTATATTTAAAATTATATTTATGATAAAATTTAGAGGTACGCCTTAATGGATTGTTTAAGGTTGCAACCCTATGCAAACCTCACTCTTGTCAAAAAGACAACCAACTCGAAACGAAGATACTAGTGATGACAGACCATACCTATGCAGCTGTGGCCTCCGAGAGAAGATTTTTTTTGTGATGAAATAATGGGGCTACTCAAGCCTAAGGGCTATATAAATCATAGGAAAGTTAACTATGGAATTCAAAAGAGCCCCAAAAACGATGTTAGAAGAATATTTAGGACCAGCAATTTTACAAAAAGTACTTTGATTCACTTCGTGATCAATTCAATAAAAAAAAGGATTTTGGATATTAGAATTGTCGACCAGATCATTGCATGCACATATGAATAATGTCCATTGGCGTAGTTGGAGTAGGAGTCCGGGTTGATTGTTTTTGGCGCATCCGTTGCCAACACTGTAGAAATGGCCAGCCCCATCCATCCCAAATTTCCCCTTGCATTGTTTTAATCTCATTTGAAAAGTTAGTGGCTTGGTGCATTCATCATCAACTAACTCATAATGTGAATCAAGATGCTCAAAGCAAATGCCAATGTATTTTCTTCCAGAACTCTTATCATTCAGATGGCAGGAATAATTTAAACACAGATGTACAAATTGTTTGAAGAGTGCTTCCAAAGGGATGGCATATACATATCCAACCGTCTAGAATAGCACATACTAATTCCGCACTTGGGGATAAATGAGTTGGCAGGCATGCAGAATACTACCACACTCTTGTGTATGGTTTCAGCCAAGTGCTGGAAGAATTAACTAATTTCAATGGTCTGGTGTGTAAAGACTCTTCATCTCACCCATGAATAGATCAGGAGCTAGAAGAGGACATGGGGTATATCAACAGAAAATGTGGAATTTCATCTTGGCCTTAATGAATCACACACATCTTACGGAGGTTGGGATCGCAGGCATCATAGATTTTCAATACCATGATACTATAAACCTACTAGAATAAGCTTATGGCCCTCTCATCTTTCCAAAAACTTGTTTAATACAGACTTTCTAGACGGAACTTCATCTGTTTCCTCTTTCTCGGGTTTTGGAACTGTTTTAACAGCACAGCGGATGACGGAATTGATTACCTTTCTAAGTTGAGCATTGTCGATGAGAACATCTGTTAACATCTTGCGAACTGTGGTCTCATCATCATTGGCCCATTGCAAGTCCCTGGGCTCAACTGCTTTTGAGTCACTGCCATTAACTTGTAGGTTGGCACGAAATTCGTTACTGTCAACCTTTTGTAGTGCATCATTTTCATCCTCTTGAGCCAGTAGTTGTGCCTACAAGGAAAAAAAAAATGTTGGTGGGACAGCCAGCCAATATGACAACAATGATGTTGACAAAGAAGATATTAATGATAGGACAATGTGATACTGTAGAAATGTTATATACCTTGTCGCTATTAATTGAACAAGATTGGGTGGCCATGATGATGGTTGAAGAATCAGATAAATGACAAAGTAAATCCAATTGGCAATGACTTTCTCTTCATCTTTTCTTTTCCATTTCTTTCACTGGTGGCCATACACTTCTATTTATCATCAATGGCAATATTGAATTCAAAACCAAGCAGAAGTGAATATTCAGATGACGGATTTTTATGGAAAAGTTCAAAGACTTCCATAACAGTATTGATCAGTGTTTTAAAGCATGGATTGGTGGGGTTGTATTGCCCACCCATTGATTCCAATTCGAATGGCTGGATAAGAGATCCATATTAGGGGAATCAGTGATGGGGTGAAATAAAAATAATTTAAAAATGAAGAAAAAAAACTTGTGTACGTTTCTTTGATGGATTAAGATATTCAAATAAAACAACGTAGATTTAAACATAGATTTAAGTCATTCCATTTGTAAATTACATATATAGGGCCAACACCAAGATTCAGTTCAAGAACCAGACTGCCGACCAATGATTTCCTATCCAGATCGGCAATTCTTTGGACACTGGTATTGATTAAGAGTGACATTTGCAATTGCCTCTTGCATCCAGTTAATGGAATAAGCAAAAGTATACAAATTAGTTGCTGCATTCCCAAAGAGTTAAAAAACAAGAACAAATTTAATGAATGTGAAAAGGAAATTTACCTCGGCAAGGAGAAGACCAATTCTGTTGTCAGATGTTGCCAATTGATCAAAAACATCTGTGCGAGAAGAAAACTCTACAGCAAACCTATCTTCATCTTCTGTAAGAATATTGATGCTGCAATCCTGAAGTCGACGGCAAAGGATTCCACATTCATGCAAAAGCTTAGCCCTAGCTGCTCTCGCAAATTCTCGCTTTTGCCTCTCTTCTTGGAGTAGCCTCTACATAAATACCAGTAATAAAACCAATCAAATACAAATTATTAAGAGGAAAAAAAAGTAGAGGATCTCATATTCCGATGCGAATAAATAGTGTTCATATGAATCTAATATAAGAAAGAATATGTGATGCAAAATACAAACATATGAGGTTGAAATTGGAAAAGATGATTATGAGTAACATAAAGCGAACAAGCTTCATGATCGAATGAATCATCCAAAAGGCAAATCTCCAGAGATAGATTAAACTAGAATAAATTAAATAAACACCAAGCTAAAACACGTGCAAAGAAATAACTTCATGGCATATCAGGTATAGCTAGTGCCTTTGCTTGACGAGAAGATATGAAGAAGAAATGACAAAGCAAATAAATAAGCCAAATCGTTCCTCCAGTGTATCCATACATTCGAGTAAGTGATAACCAGTGTTTGCAAACTCAGGTGACCACTAGTGACTTGCCCAAGTCACTCCGGCTCGGCACCCTGGCAAGCCTATAACTTCTAACTCGGGTGGCTATATATAATGGTACAGTACTCCAACAAATCACTGTTGCAACTCACATGAAAACTGTAAGGGTGTGTTTGACTTTTGGAAGATGTGGCTGTGGAAGCCACGTCTTCCAAGGAAGTGGAACCTACAACTTCCATGGTCCCCCATGGAAGCTGCATCTTCCTATTTTTAATGCTGTTTTGGGTGCCGCAGGATACCGCTGCTCCCAAAAAATGTGCAGCACTCCCTGTTATCAAATGGGGAAGTTCACCAGAATTAAGAAGTTGTGATTTCCAAAATCAAATGTGCTATAAATACAAGGGTGCAGTTGGCATACGGACTCCGTAGGTGTAGAGGTAAGGTGCCCTTCAAATTTTATCATGGTGTATAATTTTGACATAAAATGTTATTAGGATTATCTCAAAATCTATTTTTATATCTAATTATAAAATTTAAATAACCTATATAATAAACTGGGAGCAAAAGAAAGTGAAAAGATGTCTTCAAATTAGTAAAAATAAGAGTGAAAAAGCGTAGGGATCTAAACCATAATAAATGCATTAAGAGTGAGGATCAAAGGGTCTTGGTGAAAGATGACGAGGTCAATGAAAAGTAGAGAGTTCATTTTAAAAATTATTAAATGACGAACACAATGGAAACATAACGGTAGAAGGAATTGGTGGTACAAATGAAGGCAGAGATCATAAATACATTCATAGGATTAAGATGTTGGAAGTGAAAGAAGCTTTCAATAGGATGAAGATAGGAAAGGCTTTAAGACCATATGGTATCCTGATAGAGGTTTGGAAGTGCATGGGGGAAATTGGCATTGACTGACTGACGAAGCTGTTCAACAAGGTGTTGAGAACAACGAAAATGCTAGACAAATGGAAGAAAAGTATTGTGGTACCTATTTACAAGAACAAAGGAGATATACAAAATTATGTGAACTATCGAGGGATCAAGCTTATGATCCATACTATAAAGCTTTGGGAGAGTGATTGAGCAACGACCAAGGCATGAAACGAGTGTATCTAAAAACCAATTTTGTTTTATGCTAGGAAGGTCAACAACTGAGGCTATTTTCCTACTTAGGCAAATGATTGAGAAGTTTAGGCCGAAGGGAAAAGACCTTCACATGGCCTTTATTGATCTAGAGAAAGCTTATGATAGAGTACCCTGAGATTTTATTTGACAGGAGTTGGAAAAGAAAGGAGTCTCCAGACACTACATCGGCTTGGTGAGAGATATGTATGATGCAACGCTAATCAGTGTACGAACAACTAGTGGAGAGACGAGTGAATTTTCAGTGACAACAGGTCTACATCAAGGATCAGCAATGAGCCTATATCTCTTTGTCATAGAAATGGAAGACTTAACTAGGAACCTACAGGATGAGGTATTTTCGTGCATGTTGTTCGTAAATGGCATAGTTTTGATTGATGAGACCCGAAACGACGTCAACACAAAGTTAGAACTTTGGAGGGATGCTCTAGAATCCAAAGGTTTTAAAATTAGCCGGACTAAGACAAAATACCTAGAGAGGTCCAAAAATTTATTTTTAATTATCCAAAAATAATTGAAACATATTAAAACATATTCAAAGCGATTTGATGAGAATATGATCCATAGATTTATGATTACACAAATATACTGAGGATTCCATCTTTTCTAGAGACTATATCTCACCGCACCTTCTCAAATTGGCCTAATAATTCCTATGACCCACAGTCCTTCGCAAGGTTTCGTGATTGAACTATCAAAGTCAGTCAATAAGTGAAGGATACACGATCCTAGTCCATGGATTACAAGACAAGTCCAAGCCCCATTTCAGCACTATCCTTTATGGGTTCTTCCAACACAATCCAGTGTTGCAAGGAGTTATCTCTTCCACGCATGTACACGTCATACACCCTTATCCAAAAGGGCCGCTTCCTGAACAGGTATCCAGTGTACATGCCGTGTGATCGTAATGATGAAGATTTAGGCCCTTGTATTCTTCGGCCATCCATCACACATAAGAATCTCATGGAGTCCCTTGGCCTAACTGTCCTAGGCACTCATGGAGTCCCTTGGCCTAACTGTCCTAGGCACTCATGGAGTCCCTTGGCCTAACAAGTCCTTGCTATGAAGTTCTAATTTATATACCTAGTAAGTACTTAAGAGGCCCAAAAGATTCTTGATGAAGATGTGTCTTAAGAGAAGATAGAAATACCATCCCTTGTTACCACCATAACATCAACACAAACAAGGAGAAGGGTACCTTCAGGTCTGCTCTTTACAAAGAGGGAATAGTTAGAACTGCTTTTGTGAAACACAATAGCACCCATGGACTGGATGAATCAATCGAACCACACTCTGGGGACTGCTCAAGGTCATAAAGAACTTTCTTTAGCTGACAGACCTTTAGGGAGGCCTTGAGGGAGCCTAGCAAAGGAAGGCATCTCATACGTAGTTCCTCTCAAGTCATGATGGAAAACATTTTTGACATCTAGTTGAAGGAGAGACCAACCTCTACAGGCAACAATGGAAAGAGCACGAACAGTTCCCATCTTGGCAACTGGTGCAAAAGAATCCTAAAAATCAATGCCATACTTCTGGATAAAACTATTCACTACAAGTCAGGCCTTGTAACGTTCAATCCTTCCATCATGCTTAAAATTCAGCTTGAAGACCCATCGAATTCTTATTCCCATTGACTCCTTATTGCCTTCTTACTAGGAGAAAGATCAGCTTGAAGACCCATCGACTCCTTATTCCCATGGACTCCTTATAGCCTTCTTACTAGGAGAAAGATCCACTATGTCCCAGATACCATTTTTCTCAAGAGCATAGATTTCTTCCTCCATTGCTCTTCTCAATTTTTGGTTTTGATGGCTTCCTCACAAGTTGTGGCCTTTAAGAGAAAATCAACAGAAAAAAGGAAAGACTAATATAAGGAAGAAAGAATGGTATACGAATCAAAACATTCAATAGGGTGACACACTCTTTTTTCTTTTTGTATGACAATTGGAAGATCCAGATGAGATGAAGAAGAGGTAACTGGTGAGGAAAGTTCAGTCCCAGTAGACTCAGGAGGGATAATCACATGATCATTAGTGGCTACAGAGTCCTAAGCAATGGATTCCCTCGGTCTTCTTGAATAGGTCAATATGGGCCTTTCCGTGATCTCAGGTTCACTACATTGAAGTGTGGAATAAGCCATTGTCTTTAGTTATTTTAAGATACGCAAATCAAGACCATGATGACTATCAACAGGACGTTTGGGATTTTCTTGAAACTATTGATGTTTCAAGAAAGGTCATATGCCTCAACACATGGCGTTTCTTTGTCTTTGGGTCATAGCATTTATACCCTTTCTAAGTTAGAGAATAACCCAAGAAAGACACTGAGCATGCATCCAATTTGCCTCTAGCTATATCATCAAGGTGCACAAAACATGTACAGCCAAAGACATGCATATGGACAAATTGGGTGCTTTCCGAGTTAATTTTTCAATGGGACTACAATGGCCAAGAATCGGTTCAGCCAATGTGTTTTAAACATAAGCTGACATGGAAAAACACCAAAAAGTCTTAGGTTCATGCATGTAAATCATCGAACTTCTCATAGTTTCAAGAGTATGTCTATTTTTTTATCTCTGCGGTTTTGTTGCGATCTTGCAAGGCATGAGGTCTGAGAATCATCCCATTTTCTTGCAAATAGTCATGCTTTGTTTACATACTCTGTTCCATTATCATTTGCAAATATTTTAACTTTCACATTGAGCTTAGTAATTATTATTTTATGGAAAACCATACAAATTTTGAACACGTCTGTCACAGGTGTAGGACCCCACACATCAGAGTGAATGAGAGAGAACAATACGGAACAAAGCACTTTATTTACAATGAAAGGCAAACAACAAATGTTTCGAAAGCTGACAGGCTTCACATAAGGAAATAATATGGTCTAAAAAGAAACATAAGGCAAAAGATTCCTATGGATTTGACATAACAGATACCCTAAATAATCCCACATATGTCCCTCTTTCTAATAGACACTAAAGCCGCTGATGCTTGCCGAAGACATAGAGACCATTCTCCGCATACCCCTCCCCAATCATCTTCTCAGTTCTCAACTCTGAAAGAAATAAGAGATGGAGAAAAATTTTATACAAATAAAATTTATAGTAATGCTGCTCATGTATAGTAAGTTACATAGGAAAGAAGGAACAATGGGGACTCATGATCAACTTAAGAGTAGGAGCAATGTTAACGGATCCACCCCCTCAGAGGGTGCAATAGAGCCTTTGCCAAGGGTAACTGTCTAGGAATCAGTAGGGTTTTCTTGAGGGAGGGCAAGTAATGCTTTGTTGCCCCAGAGTCAAACAATCCATTTTGAAGATGAAGCAAGGAGGGACTGATGATTACCTGAGTCCCAAGATACAACAGCAATTGTAGTGGGTTTAATGGATTCCATTCTCTGAAGGAGCACAATGAGTTGACTAATCTTTTCCCCTAATAAGTTTGTC